GAATCACGATTCTGATGTGAATTGATTTTAGTTATTTTTTGTACACCCCGAATACATACCATAATACTAACAAGTTAAATTAATTTATAACATATGAGTAATTTATAATAATTTTTCACAAGTCAGCATAATTTGTTTGATGTTCTAGTGTCCAAGCCTTTAGATTGAATTTGAACTTAACAAAAAGTATTTGGATTAAACAGTCCATGTAACTTTTAAAAGACACCAGTGACACYAAAGAAAACTAAATGGCTTAAAGTGGATTATCAGGGTGGAGCCAACTTTAATCCTGATAAATGAGTTCCACCTTCTATCATCAGCAGGTTAACAGTYAGCCTAATCCCCAGGTATGGTGACTGGGTAAGGCTTTGTCAGACTGGTAGATCAAAAATCACAGCCGTGTTGAGTAAATACACACAGTGTTCTGTGGGAACCTGTAATCAGGTGCAGTTGAGTTCACCAAAAATAAAACTAAAGTATCTCTAAGCTCTTATAAATCACTCATTTTATTTACAAGCTTTTTTTTCCTGGGTTGTCGGGAGCTGGTGCCTATCTTCAGCAGTCCTGCAGGGGACGGGGACACCCTGGACAGTTCCCAAGTCCATTAATAGGACATCCATCTATTATCTATACCCGCTTCTTCCTTTCAGGGCCACTGGTGCCCATATTCAGCAGTCAGTGCGAGGGGCGGGGTACACCCTGGACAGGTCTCCAGTCCATCACAGGAACACAGAGAGACAAACAAGGCAAACAACAGTTCACTCTCTCTCTCACACCTAGGGACACTTTAGATTTATCAGTTAACCTAACAGTCATGATTTTGGTCTGTGGGAGGAAGCTGGAGTGCCCGGAGAAAACCCACACATGTACAGAGAGAACATGCAAACTCTACCCAGAAAAGTCCCTGGGTCGGGATTTGATCCAGCGACCTTCTTGCTGAGAGGCATCAGCTCTACCAACTGAGCCACCGTGCTGCCTTAATAGGACATAATATTACTTCAGAAGACGCCCTTTATCATTACTGATGTAGATATACCCCCCATTAAAATCACAACCATGATTTTAATCAAGAGCAATCTGTGAGTTCTTGGACCCCAAGTTGTTCAGAATAGTTCAGCCATCAAAATACACACAGAAAACACACAGTGAGTCGTAATTTAATTTTGACCAGTTAAAGACTAACTGACTTTTATTAGGAGTATAATATTGAATGATTAATAAGTGCTTACAATGGTTAAAACAATAAATGAGCTCTCAGTGTAGTACAATTTTCTACTTTCTAAGCAAGTGAACTAACTAATTAAGCAGGTTATTTTATATACATTCAGGGTCCTGTGTATAATTATTATTAATGTATACAAATGTAATATAATTATATAATAATTACTGAAGAGTGATTAGAAGTGAGAAGAAAACACTGTAAAAGTTGGACTTGATGTTTGCAGGCAAACAAGGAAGCGCTGGGAGCAGTTCATCCAGTCAGAGAACCAGCACCTGGTGAGTCCGGAGGCCCTGGACCTGCTGGACAAGCTGCTGCGCTAYGACCACCAGCAGAGGCTGACGGCGGCTGAGGCCATGCGACACTCTTACTTCTGTCAGTACCCTCAGTCTGAGCACCTTCATAGCAAAATACCTAAAGAGGAAGAGTCACAATTCTCTTCACTTAGACAAGAGCTGATCAGTTTTTACTTGGACATATTTCCCAGGTTTGTGTTGTTGCAGAAGATCTGACTGTGTGTGTGCTCCTCAGATCCAGTGGTGAAGGAACAGGCGAATGCCAACACAGAAGGCACAAAGGCAATAAGCAGCTCCAATGCAACATGATAACCAGAGAAGCAGGTAGTTATCATCCACACAGGTCGCAGGGACGGTCACTTGCTTTGTAAATATTAGAAGAGTTGACAAAATAGACAAAACTATCTTAGTGTGTGGCTGCATGTAGACGTAACAAAGGTCACTAGTATGGAAAACTGGGTCGTCATGTCAGAATCCAAGATGGCTGCCACMATTTAAACAGTGTGCAAAGCAGCCACCCTGATCTTTTGATGAAACTAWGATTTCTAGTTTTTATGTTATTTGAACAAAGTAATTTCTACACAGTTTTTGAGTTTCTCTGTATGTTTCARTAATTTGACAGTTTTTGCATGGCTCTAGACTAACTTTTTGCACTGGTTGCACCAGCACAAAATTTAGGTGCACCCAAATTTTCAACCACGTCGCATTTAACATCAGAGTTTTACAGGTTATTTTTTTAAATCACGGTTCATTAAGGCAACATTATCTTGAAAATAATTAGTTAACAATCTAGTAAACATAAAGTTCTTTATTTGAACCAGAACTGTAGACATTTAACTTACTGAAAAGTATTTAATGTGATTCTATAAAATTCTAAGTGCAAATGTTTAAGAGCTGAACATCTTATAAATATTTTAAACATTTCATGGTTAAATGTTTTTAGACACCTGCCCCTCAGATAGACAACTCCTGTAGTTCTGGATCTTTGGCCTTGGATAAACCAGAATGATGAACAGAGAATATTGATTAATAACAGAACTATTACTGATATTTATCAAATGGTTGTGCAGATTTWAAAAAAATAACACATAAAAGTCTGCTCTTTCATTAGCATTAGTTGAATCTTATCTTATATTATTTCACTTAAATATCTAATATGTCTAGTTTTATCCTCCTGAGACCCAGAAGAACCTATTACATATTCTTGGAATGTAACTGTGATGAAACAGATTAAGTGCAACAGCGGCCTGCCATACAGGTGAGCTTCCTCATGCTGCTGAAATGATCTGCAGCGCTCACAGAGCAGAACTCGACTGTTTAGCAAGATGAACTTGAGAACAAGCAACCATCCACGTCTTCTTTTCATCTCCACAGTTAACAAGAGAAAAATGTTTTTCAGACTCCGATCTGGGTAAAAAAAAAACAAAAAAAAACAACCTATGGTTGTTTTGCTATGCGTGTGCACGCATGCGTGTCCCTGGTGAACACAGCCAGGTGAGGTTTGGGTCAGGTGTGTAGTCTAGCTGGGAGGTTATGGTTGGCTATAGAATTCACAGAGAAATGAATGGAAGCTAATGCAAAGTCCCCATGCATGAGAACAACAAACGTGTGTGTGTGTGTGCGCGTGCGGGAGGTGTGGAGCGGAGCCGCGAGCAGAGCGCAGGAGAGATGGAGACTGTCGGCAGGCGACTGTTATGGTTGATACTGCTGGATTCATTTTTTATGGAACATGGAAACTTTTAGTTTCAGTGGGCGACCGCTCCCCCTCGAACGATTGATSACACCAGTGCGACCGGGCATTTTTTTTTTTAGTCGCTCTRTTAGGAAATYAGGTYACATTTGCGATCAAATTGGTCGCACTCTAGAACCCTKTTTTGAGTTTGTTGTTTCAGTARCTTGACAGTTTTTGAGTTTCTCTGTATGTTTCTAATTGTTTGACTAAGAAAACTGATTTTCTTTTCTCTGTTCCCGCAGGAAAAATCTTTTCTTACCTCAACTTGTGACCTTTTCGGGCAGAAACTTCTGCCTCCACATCAACAGCCATACTGGAGCCAGATGTCAGTTTTACAACACACACACACACACACACACACACACACACACACACACACACACACACACACNATGATCTTGGATGCGTGGTTTATAATAATATCACTGCAGGAGCCGATGTGGAGGGAGCCAAGTCCATCGACAAAAAATTCTGCAGTGACAAAAGGAAAGGGTACATTTATTTCAATTTATGATCAGAAATTCTTCAGCAGTATGTACAAAAGAAACAAAGGGAAAACACACACACACACACACACACACACACACACACACGGACTAACCTTCTTTCATCAGAGCCTGGGGAATCTGCACTGCTTGGTCCAAGTCACAAACCAGTCAGATCAGAAATGAGATCTGAACACACACACACACACACACACACACACACACACACACACACACACACACACACACACGGACTAAAGTTCTTTCATCAGAGCCTGGGGAATCTGCACTGCTTGGTCCAAGTCACAAACCAGTCAGATCAGAAATGAGATCTGAACACCCCACATGTTTTTTAACACATTCAGATTGACTTGTTGGATTAGTACCAAGCCTTGTTGGTTGCTGTAAAGTTGCTGTAAAGTCACTGGTCCGTCACCACGGTGACTGGAAATCCAGTTCCAGGTTTTAGCACTGAGTGAAGTGGAGGCTCTTTTCTGCTATGGATAGAACAAAAGCTATATTGAAAGAGAATAAAACATTTTTATTTAAAAGGCCAGTGTCGGCAGTTTCTTTGCTCACAAACGTTGAAACAGCAGCTGCTAACATTTTTCTACAAGTTATTATGAACACATTCACACGACTGAGATCTATTTTTTTCTTTACATTTTTTCAGCTCGTAACTTTTTCTGCAGTTTTTGTGTTCAACAATTTATACATCAGATCATTCGGCTCCTTCAGGACATTCAGGTTTTGACTTTTGGTATTTCAGCAATTTAAACTTTTTTCAAGATATTTAGCTTTTTCTGCCGTTTGTCCTCATTGAAAATGAATGGAGCTGTTTTCAGCATCCTTAAATCTCTTTGAAATGTTTATAGATCTTTACTGTCGTCCTTATTTTTTATTCTGGTTCAGCTTTTTTTTAACGTGTTTGTGCTAATTTCAGCTTCCTTCAGTTTCTTTTTTTCTTCTAATTTTAGCTGTTTTCTGGCACATCGTGTGGTTCTTCTGAATAAATTAAAATTATTTAACACAGTTGTTTACACTTCAATTAAAAATATTTGACCAAAGAAAAACCGAAGCAGGACTAGAGAGAGATGAATATGGTTTAGATTTTTATTTCTGTGACTAATGACCCACAGGAGACTCAACATTAACAGCACATTTTATTCCTTGTCTTTAGCAGCTCCTTTAATTCCACAGCTGACACTGATCAAAATGACAGATTTTCTTTTCTTGATCTCTGACAGCAGGTCTTCAATCTCTGAACTCGTAAAGTTCTTTTAACTTTGCGCTGCCATTTTCATGAATGTACACTTCCTGGTATGTGGGGCAGGAAACGTAACCTTATATGGTGTTTTTAGGGTGGTAATTATGCTAATCTCCTCTCCTCAAGCACTTGAATACCCATTCATCAGTTTACGCAGCTCATTTACACACTTTTCCTGAAGATAGAAGAGTTTGTTGAATCTGACGTGGCATGTTCGTACAAACCCTTCGTATGAAATGAAGTAAGAGAAATTTAGAATTAAGTACGAAAATATTCTTGCATGAGGCCAAATGAGTTTAAAGTTCCTGAGGACATTCCTTTGGAACTCTGCTCTGAACCTGGACCCAGCTTTACAGAGGGGAACCTGTGAGGAGCTGTGCATTTCCAGTCTATGTGAGGGACCACAGTGTGGTTATCATTAGAGGGAAATGACTGGTAGTTTGGATATTTCACAGTCATTCCTGAGCCTTGCCATATCAAGTTATACTTGAAAGGAAGGAAACATTTGGTAGATGATTTGTTGCAAATATGCCTCTTGGCAATAAATCTTAAAACGTTATTACCTTTTTAAATGGTGCCACATTTGTAAGGAACATGCATTTGTGGGATGAGCAGTAGAGCTGAGTACATGTGCCCATCATAAAATTAGAATATGAAAAATTTAATTTCAGTAATTCCATTCAGAAAGAAGTGTTATTTATTTTAATCTTTATGAATATAACTGACAACTAATGAAAACCCCAAATTCAGTATCTCAGAAAATTAGAATATTACTTAAGACCATAGATAGAAACGCTGGCCAACTGAAAAGTTTGAACATGTAAAGTATGAGCATGTACAGCACTCAATATTTAGCTGGAACTCCTTTTACCTGGATTACTGCAGCAATACAGCGTAGCATGGAGTCCAACACTCTGTGGCTCTGCTCAGGGGTTCTGAGAGCCCAGGTTGTTCTGATAGTGGTCTTCAGCTCTTTGAGTTGTTGGGTCTGGTGTATCACATCTTCCTATGGGGTTAAGTTCAGGTGAGTTTGGGGCCAGTAAAGAACAGGGATACCATGGTCCTTCAACCAGGTACTGGTAGCTTTGGCACTGTGTGCAGGTGCCAAGTCCTGTTGGAAAATGAAATCTGCATCTCCATAAAGTTGGTCAGAAGCAGGAAGCATGAAGTGCTCTAAACTTCCTGGTAGACGGCTGTGTTGACCTTGGACCTCAGAAAACACAGTGAATCAACACCAGCAGAGGACATGGACCCAAACCATCACTGACTGGAAACTTTTTTTCTTCTCATATTTAACCAGGCTAGTCTCATTGAGATCTCAGATCTCTTTTTCAAGGGCAGCCTGGGCCTGAAAGCAACTGATCGTGCGTTTTAGGGGGTGGGGGAAACCGGAGTACCCGGAGAAAACCCATGTAAGCATGAGGAGAACATGCAAACTCCCACACAGAAAGACCCCAAGTCCAAACTGGGGATCAAACCCAGGACCTTTTTGCTGTGAGGCATCGGTGCTAACCACTGAGCCGTCGTGCCGCCAACTTTACACTGGACCTCATGAAACGTGGATTCTGTGCCTCTCCTCTCTTCCTCCAGACTCTGGGCCATTGACTTCCAAAAGAAATGTAACTGAGGCAGGACACGCCTCAGATCTGCCCCAACCCACCCGGCTGAGCAGTGATGGTGGTTTAGGATTTAAAAAAGTAAAAATGGTTTGTGTTGTCAAGTAAAGAAACAAAACGCAGAGTTCATTGTGTGTGTTTATTTTAAACTAAAAATTCAAGATGTTTTCCAGAACATAAAACACTTGTGCAACATTCATGCATTACAGTTCGATGCATTTGTTTGGGAGAATCCCGGTCAAAGCTCAGATAATATAATACTGCTCAGATCTCATCAAACACAAAATTACAACTACATGTCAATTATAAATAGTTAAAACATTTCATTGGTTCACATTTTGGTTATATCATTTTTTAAAACCTTTGAAGTTCAAATCGAAGACCTGCTGTGATTTAGTTTTACCATCGTTTTGATGGTTGTGACCAGGTTTTTCTCAGCTGGTTCTGCTCAGGCAGCCCGGCCCAAACTCAATGCTCTAACTTACATCTGGAGTTATAGTGTCAAAAAAACAAACAAACAACAAACAAAAAAAAAAGCAGCTGGCAGACAAACAGCAGCCTAGAGCAGAAGAACTGTCCACCCATTGAAGGCACCACTTCCTGTTTCATGCTCAGCCAATCAAACTCCTGGATGAATGAGAAAGATCAGCTGTTTGACAGAAAAGCCCTAGAAACRAGTAAAGATGCCACTTTGGCGCTCTGTCTACAAGAGAGGTACAGTTCAGCATTTAGGAAGTGAAGTTTTCAGATTTCTTCATATTAGGCACAGGCTGGTTACAAGGTTTAAGCTACACCACGGTAGGAAAAGTCACCATTTCATACAGGTCAAGCTGTACGGATTGTCCGTAATTTACACAGATTTCCCCTCATTTTGCAGGTACACGCACGTATAGAGCAATCCTATGGATTTTTTTCAAGTTTTACGTCTTTTTTTTTTAAACTCAGTTTCAAACTTAACATGTCAAAGCCTGGAGGACATTAAAAATACAATCCATAACACCAAATAACCATCTTCCAACCCAGTCTGTTGCTAGAAATAAGTTCTTCCACCCTCCTTTCCTAATGCTGCAGGTGATGACGGTCCACCAGCCCCCCCCCCATATACACACACACACGTGCGCCATGTGATTAATATGTTTTCTTTCCCCAAAAATGACAGATTATTGAGGCTCATTATACAGGTAAATGTTTGAAGGGGTTGACATGTCTGCTATTTTTTCCTGTCAGTTTGTCCGTACGGTTTAAATGCCACATTTTTACATTTCCAGTCTGGTCCTACTGCTCAGTCAGTTGTGTGCAGGGCCAGAGGGTGGATACGTTTTATTTGGTAATGGGTAACGTGTCAGTCATGGCTCGTCTACAAGAGAAACAAACCAGCCTGGCTGATGCTGAAATTCAAGAAATATTTGTAATCTTATACAAATTAAATGTATTTTCCAGACTATAAGTTGCTTTGAAGCATAAGTAGCATCATGAAGAGGAAAAACAACCAGGACCAGTCAAACTATATAAAAAGTGTGACTTATACTCTGGAAAGTACAGTCCTAAAAGCAGGATTAAAACAGAAAGTCAGCTACATCTCAGAGACTTGGTGCTTTAATCTGGGTCTACACTTTTCTGCAGAAACATGATTCCGAATGAAGGCATGAGCACCATCAAGTTGTTCTGCAGAGCAGCATCCCTAAATGTTGAACTGTTCCTTCCTGCTGCAGAGGAAACGTTAGGTCGTGGCGCAGCGCTGAGCTTGAGGACAGTTTGGACCACAGCAGCGTACAAAGTCCACAAATTTAAGACAATGCTGATTCAAGCCTTTAAAACACTGATATTTAAAATCCAAACTGAGTCCACTGGCACTTGATTTTGTTTTTTAAGATTCATGGCCTCAGTTTCTGCTGCTCTTCGTTGTATTTTGTTGTGTCCTTTGTAACACGGCACACAATGTAAGGCAGAAAACCTCTAAAAAATAAGGTATAAAGCTAAAACCAGAGACATTCAGTTTGTTCTTGCAACGTAAAAAAAACCTGTTTCATAAATAAAGCGTGTGATTGTGAATGTTACTATTATTTTGTGTGTCTACATTTATATGGTTGGGTGTATACAGGGATTATACTGAGGTAATTTCAGAAAGGCGAACAGGGAGAGGGGACAGTTTCACTGTATCTGCTGGAGTGAAAAAGTGACAGAAACATGCATCAAGAGAAGAGAAAGTGTGGACAGAAGTGTCGGGGCGTGTCCCTTTTTGTCCGCATCGTTCAAGTTTTACAAAGTATAATACTGACTGTGTGACAGAACAACCACATCAAACAGTTGCTACTAAACCCCTCAGGGAAGAAGCTGCTCCAGCGATGAGTCATCCAGCTCGTTGATGAGGACAATGTGGTCCAAGTGCTGCAGGTACCGGTCCTGGTCTTGCATGAAGTGTGGGATTCTGGTCCGGGACAGAACAGCCAGGTGACGCAGCTTCTCCACGTCTTCGTAAGAAACCTTTGGGAGGTTATGGTCCGAACAGAAGAAGAAGAAGACTTATTTATGCTCTGTGGGAACTTTACTTTCCTTCTGCAATAAAGTCTTCCTAATTTATTTCCTCTGCATGCTGCCAGACTTTCCTACTATCTTTTAAAATGGTCTTGATCAAAATCCCCTACATTGGGGGTGATGGTGTAGGGGTGTTATTGTGTAGGTTCTGCAATCAAGGAACTATGGCTACATTCACACTGCAGCTCACAATGTTCAATTCAGATAAAAAAAAAAGTTTTTGGTCGTAAACGTCCACGTTATATTTTAAATGTGACTTCCATCAGACTCCAGTGTGAACTCTGACCTGCTTGTTTAGTTCATTTTGTATCTGAACCTGCCTCAACAAGCAACACTGATAATAGTAGTGTTGATGAAGCCTTCACGGTACACATCCCTACACCACTCAGATATGTGCATTTAAAGGGAGGGTATTATATCCTGATGCATCTCAGACAGTTCAAGTCTATACAACAGTCAACAGTCAGATGTATCAGAGTGTGTGTACACTTGTTTCTGTGCTGCTTTCATTCGTACATCCCAACATAAACCTGAGCACCTGAGACTCCTCCCCCTGACACACCTCCATTTAAATATGTCAGATGTGCAAAATGTGTCCAGAGTGTGTCATTCTCCTCTGTGCAATCAGAAATGATTTCTAGATCCAGGAAAATAAAGAGTTAAATGAAATATATAAGTGCAATTTTCTAAATAAGCAGTGGGGTTTACAGTATGTGTTTGCGACACACAATGTAATAGTATGTGTGTGTGAAGCTGCTGTTTTCTTCCACCAGTGTATTTCTGAGGCTGCACATTTTATTTCCAACTTTACACACGTCTAACACATTTCTGTAAACATGGAGGATTTCAGGGGTTCGGAGAAGGTAGAAACAACTCAGTCTGCAACTGAAAATGTGGATGGAGGACAACAGAGCTGCTTCATGGAAGAAGAACCTCTGCTTAGCCTGTTAGCGTTAGCGTGAAAGCTAACAAGCTAAACTGAGGTCCTCCAATCATATTAAGCTGCAGGCTGAGTCATTTTTGCGTTCCCCTCTCTGTCATGTGGATGGAGGACCTCAGTGACGAGAGGAGAATGTGTAGCACTGAGCTAATACATATATATGGTGATAGCGTCGGAGCTAATGCTAAAGCTAACAGGCTAAGCTGGAGTTCTTCCATGAAGCAGCTCTGTTGTCCTCCATCCATATTTTCTGTTCCAGGATGAGTCATTTCTACCTTCTCCTCTCTGTCAACGCTCTCTGGTTTCATTTAAAAGAGTCGATCRTCAGATAYTGTCCAAGATTAACCTTCAGGGTGGATATAGCTCACTMGCAGCCTCGCACCGATGACCTATCCACGTCATCATTTACCCAGAATGCTTTGTGTGTAAATAAAATGGCTCCGTCTGTGTAATATATTTTTTAAAAATTTAGTTTAAAAATGATAAAAACTAAAAAGACTACAGTATTTTTACAGTCTTTATTTTACAGTTAAAATATACGTTTATTAAATAAAGTCTAATGTTACAACTAATGGTGGATCCCTTTAAAGCTTTATTTATCAAATAGCTGATGTGAAGAAATGAGTCGCAGCGCCTCAATGGAGACTTTCGCTGCAGGTAGAGGACTTATATTTGGAATCATGAAGCCATTTCAGTCAGCTGCCTGGCTCGGCTCAGGGACGAAGGTAAAGTTCCTGACTGGTATTTGGTCAGTGWGATCCCCAAAAACACACTGCCTCCCAATTCTTCCTGTGGTGATGTCATGTGGTCCAGCAGAGCCACAGCTCACGTCCCACAGTTATGTAGAATTTTACGCAGGTGTTTATGAACACGTCACTGTTTGCACCTTGTCGACCTGAGTAATGATCACAGGTGAGGTGTTCTGAACTAATCTACTGAGCTGATTAAAGTCCCTCTTAGACATTTTTACACATTTTATTCTCCTCAGCTATGTGTGCGCCTCACAGGCCTGTGGTCACAGATGTGTGTTCATATCCACACGTGACAGAAATACAAGAAACTTTACAGTTTACATTGAAGCAAGGTTGTTTCTTTCATTTTTTTAGGCGTGTTCTGTTGTCTGAGGTTAAACCATAAAAGCTCAAAATTATGTCTTGTTCAGACGCAAAATCCATAAAACTGAACAAGTCGTAGTTCTGTGTATTTAGGTGAGGCTCAGTACTTTGTGGTTTAAAACTGTCAACTGAAAAAAAAACATTTTCTCAGAAATGCAGGTTTTGTTTCCGATCTTAAGAGCTTTTGTATGGATTTTACAACCTTCTATAGACCTGATAACCCAAACCACCAGAGTTACTTATTAACCATGGTGAGCCATTAATGTGCTGCAAACAGGTGGCTGAATAAACAAAATGAACCAATGACCATTTCTTAGATAAACATGTTTTATAGATTTTCTTGTTCCAATACGTTTTGTTAAAACTGGTCAGAGAAATTGTGTGAAAGTATTACTAAATGACTGTAATCATAAGTATTTGTTCACCATTACTTMTTGTCATTTAATAACTATTTATATAGCACATTAAAAACAACAAAAGTGCTTTCAACAGTAAACTCATTTACTGCACAGCACAAGGTCCAATGTGTCCCTTTCATGAGTGGCGCCAGTGACTGAAGATCAGAGGAGTTAGTCGTGTTCATAAAGTCTTTGATCAGTGGTCCAGGCTTACAGCAAACACGGACGTTAAAATCACCAAATATTAAAAGAGGGTCATAACGTAGTGTGAGATCTGTCGTTAAATAAGTAAAATCTTTAATAAAACCCTTTACAGAGTAAAGGAGGTGAGTTAATTTCCACCATCTGAAGCTCTAAACGTGAGTAGAAATGAGGAGCATCAGCCAACGGGTTAAACTGGATTTAAAAACAGAATCTAATCCCTCTTCTTTACCAGTAGTCTGAGGAGAGCTAAAGACAGTCCAGTCAGGAGGCATGAGTCCAGAACATGGAGCAGACTCCCCCACATGAAGCCAAGTTTCTGTCAGGAACATAAAATCCAGTTTTAAAAAAAGTTTCTGTCAAGTTTTTAAAATCCAGTTTTCAGGAGACAAAAAGTCATTTAGAATAAAAGTCTTGTTGGTTAGTGATCAACCGTCCAGCAGGGCTCCAATGAGAGTTAGACCCTTGTTGTCTGGAGCAGGAGCACAGGTGCCTACATGGCCCTCAGGGTTTCTGTGAATATGGTCAGAAATGAGGAAAGATCTGTTTGTTTTTCTGCCCAGCATGAAACAAACCAGTTCATGTGGCGTCTGAAGACCTTAAAMCCCAGTTAAATCCTGTATTGTGATACACCTAATTTCTACAGCAGACTTCAGGATTCTCAGGTCTCTTGTGGTGTCCCTTCTGGTGGAGAAACTGATTATTTTGGGGACACACACCTGTGGAAATGTTTGTGGCTGAGGAGGAGCAGTGTGAGCTTCTGCATGTCGCTGAAAACAGTTGGTTCCAGAGCAGAAGCCGATAGTTAAATTAGCAATGGACAGCTTCAAAGAGCTGCTCATCAGGGGCCTCATGCATGGAGTGTGCAGCTTTCACACTAAAAGCTGACGTATGAAAAATTTAGAAAAGTGCACCGCACCAAAAAATTCAGATGTATAAAACTGTGCGCACGCATGTTCCTGCGCACCTTTCCTTTATCCATCCCAATGAACGTGGAACTTAGCGCACGTGAGACACCTCCCCTGACACGCCTCCATTTAAATATGTAAAATAGATGTAAATGTGTCCAGCGTGTGAGATTCTCCTCCGATTCCTCTCTGTGGGATCAGAAATTATTTTTAGACGCAGGAAAATTATACATTAAATGGAGAATGAGTGAGAAAACTGTCTGAATAAGTAGTGGGTGTCATTGTTTTATGTGGCGCATTTACACGGGATAACCAAAGCCTGAGATTTTCCTGAAATTTACAGACATCTCCCGAATGTGATATTAAAGCCTGGTTATTGCTGTCTATTTAGTTGAACACGGCATTGAACGGACATTAAAAACAAAAATATTAATAAATAAAAACAATAAACATCACGTTATCCACTTTTTCTGCTCTCCTTTGCTCCTGCGTTACAGCAGGCGCTGTCATCTCCACGGACAGACCCCCACGCACGGGTACGAGTAGTAGCCTTCGTATTTTTAGCAAAAAATATAGATTTTTGAGGCTCATTAGACAGGTAAACGTCCAAAGGGGTTGACATATATGAACACCTTCCCAGCTGGTGAGGGTGTGCGCGCGCCTGGCACGAATAGCTACCCAAAGAGCAAGCCTGCTGTGCTACGGCCACAACTCAACTCAGCATCAGCCAGAAGGCTACAAACAGAAAAAAAAAAATTATTCTTACCGTACAGTGAGCCACCATTTGCATCCGATTTTGCTCCCTCTCTTCAGCCTTTTTTATTTTATTATTATGTTTTTTATGCCGTACGTAATGTGTCGGGTTTTTCCGGCCCGGGACCCAAAAGGTTTTCAATTATGTGACAAAAATATAAAAACAGTTTACAGACTGGACTGAGGTTCTTTGATCATTTTTAGGCTGATCTATTTTCTTG